TCATTCACCTTGCCCTTCATTCAGCAAGTGCTTCAAGTAGGAAGCCAGCTCAGTGCTAATCATGAGAATATGGCTGTACGGCAGACTTTAAATTAGAAACAAATTCTGCAGTAATCTGAAGTGTACTGAGACCAGTGATAACTGTAAATCCATACAATATGGAAAACTTGATAGGCTCATGAATATTGATCACATCATGCTTCAGAAGTAAACACACCAAAGAATATTATATTCCCACATTCTTTTTCTAAACTCTCTATGTTAGAAAATAGAAAAGAAAAATGTTGATATTTATATTAAACCCAAATGACCTTGTTATATTAATATCCTTTACCTATGATTAAATCACTTATTGATGATATATATGCATACACAAAACATATATATACACACTGTGAATATGTATTCCATATGTTATAAAAATTTTATGTTTTCAGTGTAATAATTAGTGAGAGGTACATATAATTTAATACCTAAAGTGTATGGATATACATTTTATGTGCCAAACTGATAATATCAGCACTGATAGAACTACAATGAACTAGTATTCATATACACAATTGGGAGGAATGAATTATGCAGCAACAGCAAACTATTTAAACTCTGAAGTGGGCATGGTTCTTCAGGCTACTCTACTCCACAGATTTGACTTGGAATGATGTTGCTTTGTTTAGCTCAAGTCAATTACTAGAGATTAATTCAATAAGGAGCCATCAGCCACCAACAGTCCCTCCACTTGGAGGAAGGAGTAGTACAATCTCGAATAAGATATATGAAGGATGTACCTCTCTGCACTAGAGTTCTCCTGTTGAGCCACCCAAATCTATTTGCATGATGTAATGAATTCTAGGAGCTGCTTTTCTCACTTATTCATCTCATTTCCTGGGGAAAATGGAATGAATGGCCACACTACCGATACGATTTCAACTGGTCCCAAGATATCAAGTGCTGCTGTTTCCCATCTCTTACCCAGTAGCGACTCTTATCACTCTCAGCTAACGTCTATATAGTCTGTGTCTTTATCTGGTGAGGTAACCCAGCCCCTTGTCTCTTCACAGGCAAAGTATTGTACTAGTCCATTTATCACCAACATTGAGGAAGGGGATATTAAGAGACACTAGTAGATCAGCATTGTGCCAATCACATTTGCTCCTGTTTTCTACTCCTTCCTGATGATCTGAGTAATTAGTCTTACCAGAGTGATATCTTTCCCTACATACTGGTATTTTGGCACGAGATGTCCAAAATGACAATAAAGGCAAGATACTAGCAATAGCTCAAAATTCGGTGATGGAGGGGCTGCTGTTGTGGCTTTGCACATGCCGCTGCCTGTGATATTAGCATACCACAAGGGCACCAGTTCAGGTCTCAGCTGCTCCACTTCTGATCCAACTCCTTGCTAATGCACCTGGGAAAGCAGTGGAGGATATCAAAAGTGCTTGGGCCCCTGCACCTAGGTCAAAGATCCAAAGGAAGATCCTGGCTCCTGGCTGCAGCCTTTGCAGCCATTTTGGGAGCTAATGAGCAGGTTGAAGATCTATTTCTCTCTCTCCCACTCTATGTCTCTCCTCTCTCTCCTTAACTCTGCCTTTTAAATAATTAAATAAATCTTTTAAAAAATTCAAAGGGAGAGACAGGTCTTCAATCTGCTGGTTAGCTCACCAAATGGCCACAACAGCCAGAGCTGGACTGATTAGAAGCCAAGAGCTTCTTCCGTGTTTCCAACTCACATGCAGAGGCCCAAACCCTTGGGCCATCTTCTGGTTTCTTGGGACATAGCAGAGAGATGGATTGGAAAAGGAGCAGCCAGGAAACAAACTGGCACCAATCTGGGATGCTGGAACTACAGGCATAGGCTTAGCCTATCACACCACAGCACTGATTGACCCCACTCCATTTTTTGTGTTTGTTCTACCTGTTGAGAACATGACATCAGATCCTGGTCATTGATTCGTGGTATATAATGTACCCTAAAGGAAAGCACCTCATATTCTTAAAATGTTTTCTAAACTTTGGCTCCTCAACTGTACCTACAAGAGACTCTGTATTTACCATATCAAGTTGGTAGCTGCTCAATGGTTGATAGGTGATAGGATTAATAGATTCTTTGGTCATACCAAACCTCTTTTTCTATAAATTGAGTTATTTGACCTTTCATAGTACTCTGAGAGAGAGTCCATATTGGTGGCTCAAATACTTTGGGAGTTCTCAAAGGATGGTGCTAAAATACAGAAAGTATGAAAAATAAACCATTTCTCAGAATATGTGTATATTCCGGTCAAGATGAATTTCTAACTCCTCCAGAGTGAAAGGCGTCACCTAGAGGCTAGCTGGTCTCCTTTAAGGAGTGGTTTATTTTGGTAACTCAGCTTTGTCTTTTTTTGCTAGTTAATTAAGTATACAGCAGTGGCAGTAGCTCATAGCGAGTAGCAACACCTTTGTTAGGTTTATGTCCATACTGATGCTCAATGCATAGACTCTGTCCTTGCCACTTTAGCCTCTTCATTTACAAGCTTGTGGTGCTATCTCTAGAGGACTGATGTTCCTTAGCTCAATTGTTCGTCTACAATTACAAGATAGTTTAGTGCCTCTTCCATGGAAATACAATTGGTGTCTCTAAGAATTAAAGATCTTTACAGTTAATATTCACTCCCATGGGTTCGACCTTATGCCTTTTCCACAAACTTCCTTATTCCAAATCTTCCAATCCCTTTACCTACAAGACCCTTGGCTAATGAACAGTCATCCTCCAAGATATTTAACCTTGTTCATATGTATGTGTGTGTGAGTGTGTGTGTGTGTGTGTGTGTGTTTTCTTACCTCGAGTCATTTGTCTTTTCATATAAGGTAGATGTGCTGATATACTCAACACTCTACTTAGGAAATTATCACTTTCTTTCAGAACTATTGGTAGGTGAGTTGTACAGTTACAGCTATCCAATTTTGGCTGTACCCACATACGAGCTTAGAAACAGAAGAAAGCAAATGCCATTTAAATGTGTGAAAAGAACATTCCAACAAAGTTATAATCAGTTCTACCTTGATTAATGTTTAAATACAGAAGAAAAATATAGAAGAGAATAGAATTTTCAAGAACTTTCCTGGGTTTCGCACTATGTGCTAAGCCCTTTATATACATTTTTCCGTTAACTTCTAGGATAATCTAGTCTACAATATCTTATCATTTCATGGATTAAACAATTATAGTTTAAAGAGATCATGTACCATGCCCTATGTCAAATAGCTACAAAGTGTTGGAGCCACATTTGGAAAACACTCATGACACTCACATCCCATACTGAAGTGCCTGGGTTTGAAAACTGGCTGTCTCCCAATTCTAGCTTACTGCCAATGCAAACCCTGGTAGGCAACGGGTGATGGCTCAAATACTTGGGTTCCTGACATTCACATGGGAAACCCATATTGAGTTCAAGCATTTGGAGCATGAACCAACAGAGGGAAGAGTCAGTCAGTCTCCTCTCCCTCCCTCTCTCCCTCTCTCCCTGTCTCCCTCTCCTCTTAGTTTTTTTTTTTTTTTTTTTTTTCCAAAGAACTACTAAATCTTTCTTCTGCTTACTGGGACCTGGACATGGTGTTGAACTAGAGCTTTACAATCCCATATTAATTGATTTCTCCTAAGAATCCAATGAGAGTGATGCAATTATTTTACCTACTTTGTGAATGAGGAAATTACTGTACAGAAAAGTTAACAAACTCATCCAAGGTCAAAGTTAACAAGAAATCTAACTTTCCAGCCTACCTATGTTCTGTCCACATGAGTAGTCTGCCCGAGTTAATAGGTACCATTTCAGATTTATTTGGGTATAGCAAAACTAGTGTGGGCAGTCCTAATTAAAGGAGAAGAACTTGAAATTAATAGAAATGGCTAAGATTCTGCTACTCAACTTATGTCTGTTAAAATTCTCCATGTGCTATGGCCAACTGTGGTTCAATATGTCATAGAACTCTTAAAGATAAATGTGACATATTCACTACTATCTAGGAATCCATAGTTTATTAGAGAATGAGTTTTATGTAATTAATCCTAATTATCAAATATAAGACATAGTGATTTGCAATGGTATATTAATTATTCAATACGTACCAAGTATTCAGAAATACAAATTAGAGATGGTAGATGTCACTGAAGGAAATATTGATTACTTGAGTTCATAATCATTAAGATATAGCCAGGATTTGATGTACTTTCTTCTTTCTATTCTAACCCTGTTTTAGAAGAGTAGTGGTACCATTTGTCACACACCTGACAACAAGGATGCTATTGTGTTGAAAAACTCTTTTACTTACTGTTTTATTTAGTTCACAGCTATAAGTGAAAATAGTTTAAAATACACGTTAGTTTTAAAAAAAAGGAAAGAGAAAGTTTCCTTTCATATAAAGTATTAACTTAGAGGTCTTCAATCTATTATGTGTTTTCATAAAAGTAATAGTAATAGCAATTAGTTAATACGCTTAAGTAACTGGTATGTGTTAGCACAGCTGTCTTTTTTTATCTAGTTATTAACAAATATCCATCAAGAATCTATAGGTCACCTTACCTTTACATAACAACACTAACAAGCTACATTTCTTCATTTAGATGATTTCTTTAGAATCTTGTAGAACAGAATAAAATTTATTTGAAATTGAACATGCCCCATCTCTAAAGAAAATACACATCATTATAAAGCCAGAAAAGTAAAAAAGAAAAGCCAATTTTCCACATATCTTAATATTTTATGTCCAGTACCTTTTTAAATAATCATCTACCTGCTAATCAAAATGACTATTCAGTGATTCTGAAAGATGTCAACCAATTGTATGTATATGAAAATGTGCCAAAGCAGAACAGATTGTCTTGAGCTGAGAAGGATGTTTTTTTCCCGAGAGTTTTTTGCCTAATGTAAGGCACTTATGTGGAAGAAAAAAAAATACTCTAGTTTATATCTCTCCCTTACCTTGTCTTTGTAATTTCATAAATGGAAGTAAGTACACATAACAGAACTGGTGCCCCAAACATAAGCTTTTAGATCTCAAGGATTCGCTGTTTCAATTTCTGACATACAGACCACCTGCTATCTTGTCATACTCAAGTGTTGCTTCTCATTATTTAACATGAGCCTCTGAGCCCAATTCTGATCACATATTTTTGGTGTTTAACACACTTCTTCAGTAGGGAAAGATGACCCCTAGGGAAATTCAACAGAGAGGAGGTAAATGTCTTTTTGTTTTTCTAGATCAGGAACAAAAACAGTAAAACCCTTAGAAAAAGTATGTAGTTTATTTGTACATGACACATTATAAAGAAGAATTTATTTCAACTTTTTGAATGCAGGTGCAAAGTGAGTACTCCAGTTCCTAGTCTGATAGGGAATTTTCATTGCCAAACAAATCATTTTGAGTTTGAAGAGTATGTAAATACAAGATGTATTGGTAGCACATTGGAGGGTTTACTCAACTCTTTTTTTGGGAATCAGGAATTTATCATGGAGGATGTGACATCTGTGATGAGATGGACTTTGAAGTAGTGATATGGTTTTTCTATTCTGTCATGAAGGTTAAAGAAATGGCTGGTAGAAGGAATGCTACATGCAGTGTATCAACTCCTAGAGCAGAGACAAAAGTATGTTCCCAGAGAACTGCGGGTGGTTCAGTAAGTCAGGAGAGAGACAGCAGGGTTGGATCACAAAGTGTCTTCTACAATATGCAAAAAAATGAACTCGTTGTTTAGGTTGTATGGAATATTGATGTCTACAGATGAAAGTTAGATGTGGTTCTCTTTGTGTTTGCAACAGAGTCCACAAACATGTGTTACCTAAAGAAGTGAAATAGAAAAGCTGGTGGACTACAAACAGGAAAATAAAAGGAAACAGAAAGCTAAATAATTAACTCATCAGTTTACACTGTGTACATGTGTGGAACTATTTTATTGTACCCCATAAAAATTCACAAGTATTACATGTTAATAAATTTATAAGATAACTGTGGAACCATTGTGGATAACAGATGAGTTGGCAGTGGCAGGAATAGATGCCAAACATAGTGGTGGGTGAGAGAAGAAAGGATAAAGCTTTATTCCCCAACTGGGCAAGAAAAGTGAGTGGCTTTATGGAAGATCATCAGAGCCTAAAAATTGTTTTTTCATATTTTTAAAGTCTTTTTGAAAAATCATTTGTAAGGCAGAGTGACTCACACAAGGACAGAGTGACACACAGAGATCTTCCATCCTTTGGTTTACTCCCCAGATGGCCTCAACAATTGAGGCTGGGCCTGGCTGAAGCCAGGAGCCTGAAACTCCATCCAGGTGACCCACTTGGTGTCAGGTGTCTAGGTATTTGGGTCATCTGCTGCTTTCCCAGATGCATTAGCAGAGAGCAGAATCCCAATTGGGGCAGCCAGTATTGGAAGCAGCACTCAAATGGGATGCTGCCCTCACAGGCATCAGCCTAACTCACTGTGTCAAAATGCCTGAGCCTAGAGGTAGCTGTTAGTATGTATAGATGGATTAGAAATATGGGCTAATTTCTAAATTCTTTATGAATGAGTAGATGTTAAAGCTAATAATTAAGACATGAGCTAGGCCATGAAAAAAGTCTAAAGTCCATGTTAACGAAAGGAGCCTGGGTTGTGAGTTCCTAATGGTCCCTGTCTTGATCATGTTTGCATCTCCAGCACCTTGCAAAGGACCTGAGAGTGACTACTTTTGTTACTCATTAGAAGACCTAAAAGGCAAACACTTTGTTTCATTGGCTAATTGAGCATATGTACTGTGATACAGGAAAAGATGAAGCCAGAGAAATAAATAGTTAAAAGGTCTCAAAGCACATAACTGAACAATTTGTAATCAAAATAGACAAAATTAATGGTTTGGCTGAAAAGCATATTTTTGCTGTGTATACTAATACATTGGAACAGAATGAAAGATTAATGCAGAATATTGTGTAATATCCTCAGAGGGAAATAGTTATGATCTGAACTGAGTGGCAACTCTGCTCCTGGAGAGAAAGATGAATTCATAGAATAATATGGAAGAGGAAAGTGTCTGCAGTTTGCATTTGAATTGAAAGGGAGATTTTGATGCTGACTGGGAATTCTGAAAGTTATTGGCATTGCTGATGGTAATGAAAAGCTTAAGGGAGAGTGTGACAGGGCCTTATTATGCATCCTTAGTTCCTTGAAAGGATGTAAGTGAATCATTCTCCCACTGATGAGATGACTCCACCTTGCTGGACATATTTTACCCAGCTTTGAAGAAAGAGCTCATTGTACTGCCATCTTGGGCGAAGGAGTTAAAGATTTATGCATTAACATAAGATAACCACCGAGTACTGTCACTGCCAGAACTGAAACATATTGATTTGATCGACCCTTCAATAACAGAAGATAAAAATAGCCACTTCTTTTTCTTCTTTCTCCTCTTTGTCTCTCCTTCTGTCTGTAGGCAGACAGGGATTAGAACCGAGAAATAAATTAGAAGTGGAGGGACTAACTTTGGCTTTCTGCCATCTGGAAATAAAATCCATTTAATTTATCCTGACTATCCTTGTTATAGTGTTAAATATAGACTAAATAGTTTAATATGGATTTGTGTAATGAGTTCACAAATTGATTTCAAAGAGTAAGCTTGCTTTAGGAAATAAACATCTGCTTACTGTTACTTGGATGGCATCATACTTCCATGTGGATCAGATGGAATTCCTTTCCTTAAAAATGCTAAGAATTTTAGCATGATTATTTTATCATCCCAATATTTTTAAAATCCTTGAAACAGAAACAAAACAATGATTTAGAAGCTCCACCTGTCTCCTAGAGAAAGCAGGCTCTGTTGGGAACTGTATCTTACCTGTCAGGATTCAAAACAAAAGAGAACAGAAACAATACAGAAACAACCTGCACCCTCTCTCTCTGAAACTTCTCCTTTTTCCTTGTTCAAAAATGTCATATGCACTTTATTTAAACATTAATTACTTAATCTCAGCTGTATGCAACTAATTTGTAAAATAAAATTCCTTGCAATTTTGAAGAGGAATCCTGAGAGATGCCTCTTTTAACAGCTCCCTCCTTCCCTATCTCCAGTGGCCAAATTGGATGTAATTGTAATTGGGGATGGGAGAGAAAAGACACTGTCAGCCAATCATTCTAGCAATGGCTACTAACATTTGTAATTATAATGTCCTGTATTCTGATTTAAATTCGACAGTGTCTTCTACATTACTATTCTTTTCCGTGAAACATGGAAATTTGGGTGTGGGGCTGGGGATGGTTGAAAGCAGGCCATTACCTACATTTTCAGCCTGTCCCATTTCTCTAAGGCACCATAGACAGGGGAGGCCAGCTATCAGGAATGGTAATTTACAATCTAAGAGTGCTTGATCTAAAATCTGTCCTTGTCAAAGGAGAGCACTGGGTCCCCATGCAGCAGTAATGGGAATTTTATTTCAGCCTAAGATTCAATGGGGGTTTCAATTGTATTCTTTAAACCACCCCTGTCCCTATCAATTTATGCAGCATACAGGTCTTGTGGGTCTTTAACATCATTTCACTTTAAAATAGAAAGCACTGAGTATAATACATAGCCCAATCCATACCTGAAAACCTATAAACTCACCTGGAAAGCATAAAAACAACAAAATCATTATATGGTTTGGGCACAGTCCAGCTTTATTATTAATCATTTCTCATTGATTAAAATTTAACTCTTGGAAAAAAAACCTTTTTTCCTGACAGACTTGTCTTTCTTTTACTCTAACTAATTAATACTCTAAAATTATTGCCCTAAATTTCCATTTTCATGTAAAATAGAGCTTTACCTGTGTAAAAAAAAAATCATAGCTAAAAAAAATACTATAGGGCAAAAATTAGATCACATAGCCAGGAATTAATATAATGTATAAAGTATTTTTGTTGATTAACACATCCATGAGCAGCATACTAAACAATATCAATGGTGGTGAATCTATTTCAAGTTAGTCATAATGGATATTTTGCTTGAATCTTTTTTACCCACTCTTGGCTACTAGAAACCTTTTAAGATGTCTCTCATAGTTTCCATTGTGTGTGAGTGTGTTGTGTGTGTGTGTGAGTGAAGAGAGAGAAATTTGTTTTCTTTTGCATCAGAAAATACTAAAGGTCATCATCCCTGATTTTCTGCCCTGGGTTTTGTTTAGCAGCGGTATTTGCCTTCTGTTTCATACCCTGTTGTATTTCCACTTCCTCATTGCTAGTTTATCCTATTGGTACTGCCTTTGTGGTTCTTTAAATTCCATACTTCCCTGGCTAGACCTATGCCTCTAACACTGGTCTATCCATTTCTTCATACCAGATTTTATTAGTGAGCAATACTAAGAAATTTTTCACATTTTCTTTCTGCTAATTTTTCCAAGGCATTTCATTATTAGCCAACACAAAATCATCGTATCGTTATTGTCATTGTCATCATCACAATATTTTCTGCTATCTGTTTTAACATGATTTTCTGTCCCTAAACCTCCATATATATTTATGCTTTTCCAATTTTTCCATAAAGGGGTGATGATTGATGGGCTGGCGATGACTTACTGATGACCATGGATTAGATAGATATATGTGAAATTCCATACGTAATTATTACAAGAGATATCAGGCACCCAAATATCCTTGAAAAAGACTTGATTTCTGATATGTACATTCTTTGAGGTTGAAAACAAAGCACAGATGTAGATCAGATGGTAAGCAAAGTGAATGAAAACTAACAATATTCTAGTATTCAGTTTGTTGTCATTTTCCTCCATATTATATACAATTGTCAAGAAAGGTAGCGTTTAAAGAGTTTATAATATTTATTTATGTTGCCTAGTTTTTGATTCATCCAAAGAACTCTTTGTATTCTGAAAATACACATATTATTTGTTCTTTTCCATAACTTATAAGATATATTGCACAATAGGTTTTTTTGTGTGTGTGTGTGTGTGTGTACAGGCAGAGCTAGACAGAGAGAGAGAGAGAAAGGTCTTTCTTTTTCTGTTATTTCACCCCTCAAATGGCTGCTACGGCCAACGCGCTGCGCCAATCCGAAGCCAGCAGCCAGGTGCTTCCTCCTGGTCTTCCATGCAGGTGCAGGGCCCAAGCAGTTGGGCCATCCTCCTCTGCACTCCCGGGCCACAGCAGAGAGCTGGCCTGGAAGAGGAGCAACCGGGACTTAGAACCCTGGGTGCCAGCACCACAGGCGGAGGATTAGCCTAGTGAGCTGCAGCGCTGGCCACACAATAGTTTTTAGAATGACTACATTTCAGCTCATTTTACTATTCAAAATACATTTTGAGCAATAGTCAAAAATTTTTTGAAATAAAAGAAATTTGAAGCCATAAAAAATACAAAGATTTATAGTGATATACTGCTATTTAGCATCACATGGGAAATCTAGCTGATGGTTCACATGTGCATAAAGATCTTATTAGAATTTGAGGCAGTTATGTCAACAGTTAAATTCCTCTACTATTTTTCCATATATGCAAGGATTTGAGGAAAAAATGATTGACTACAGTGATGGCAGCAGAAATCATTGTTTAACCTTATCTTTTATGGGAAACATCAGAGTATCAGACTGAACACGGACATGGTGCATTTTGAGTGTGAAAACTCAGTCAAGCTGCAACAATATTTACTTATTAAAATTTCTCTTTATAGTTCTCAGGATGGCTGAAAAAGAAGTTTTGTATGAAATTGGCAAGTTTATGTAAAAGAAGAGCCATTTTTTTTTTTTTTTTTGTTAAGGAGTTTGGTGCAGGACAAAATGCAGGAAAAATACAAAAGACACTGGGATATTAAGGGGCTAATAACAATGGAGCTGTTATCCTCCTTTCACTCAGATGGAGGAATTCAGGGAGTCATTGCCAGAATTAAAAGAACAGAGAAGGATTTTCAAAGAAGAATACCTTGAAAACAATTATGACTTGTGTTGGAGGGAAGCAGCCCAGGAGAAACCTGCATATAGACAAGCAGGAATCAATAGAACCATTCACTCTCATCCCTCATTTAGATTCTTGTCAGTGTGCAAGGGTGGGTGCACTCAAGGAAAGTTCAGGGTGAGGAAAGCCTGCTGATCCATCCTGATAGGTCAGCCCTCCAGGGGCAGAAGCAGGGAGTAGAAGGGTGCAGGATGACTCTGCATGGAAATAATGCAAAACACAACAAACCCCAAAAATACCCACCAACCACACTATCATAACCAATTTTCACATCTTAGCCTTTTTATTTGAGAAGATTTGAGAAAAATGTGTATAGGGAGCCAGAGAGGCATAGAATGTATAGACAGCAGGGTCCCAAAGGTACACATCCTAATCCTTAGAAATTTTGACGACAGTAGGGTACATTGCCAAAAGGAGTTAATGTGGATGATGGAATCATGGTTGGTAATCAGCTGATCTTAAAATAGAGAGATCATCCACGTGGGCCCAATGTAATCACAAGGGCCCTTAAAAATGAAAGAGGAGACCAAACAAAAGGTCAGAGTGATGTGTGAAAAGGAATCAACATGCCATTGCAAGCTTGAAAATGAATTGAGGGCAAACAATCAAGGGATGTGGGCAGACAGCTCTACTACCTGGAAAAAGGCAAGTAAATGACTTTATATACAACAGAAGAGTAGCACAGTCCTCTCCATGTCTTGATTTTAACACAATGAGCACTACGACCTCTCACTGACAGAACTGTAAATTAACAAAACCGTGTTAGAGTAAGAAACTAAGTTTGGGCTAGGATAGCAAACAGATACACTAGAATTCAAGTTTCTGCAATTAGTTTTGTCTCTACATTCTTATCATTGTGAAAAATTCTTATAGAAATTGTACAGCATTGAGCAAATAGCGTTTGATGCAATATCTGGGGTTTTCACTGCAAAGAGTTTCTATCTGCACATTTTATGATACCAAGTTAAGAAACTATGAAAATGAGGGATCCTTTTGTGGTTCTTAGTATAAACAGAAAGAGAATTCTGTCAAGCAGCTTAAAACCTGTCCCATGCGTGGTTCTGAATCCAGCATTCGGAACAGAAGAAAGGAACAAAAGTACACACAAGCCATACAGTCACAAGAAATTACTCTGAGTTGAAAGAAGAGCTTTTAGTTCTTCAGTTCAGGTGATTTCCCAGAATTTAAGAAACAAAGGCCACAGGTTATATTGTGAAACAAGGATTTAACATGAATCAGAACACATAAATAAAGCAAGAACATGTGCAAGAGAACCAATGTGAATCATGCCGGTAGAGATTTTTTTTTCAGCCTAAATATTTAAGAGTTTTCATCAGTTCCTTAGTTGAAGAATCTATGAGAACTCAGAATCTGATTCCCGTTATTCTTTATATGTAAGAAACAGAGTAAATAATGTCAAATTCTCATTATAATCCATGGATTCAATAAGCTCCCACATCCCCTTAGCACCTTCTTAAATTCCTTTCTTAAATGCCCTTACTGGTCTAATGTTATAATGAACTTCCTGATTGGTTAAACACTATCTAATCAGGAGTGAAGAACCCATTAAAAAAGTTATCTTACAGCATTCTATGTTATAGGATTCAGCCCTGTTTGATCATGTTCACTTAAAAAAAAATAGGAGTCTAAAGTTATTCAGATGGGAAGGTGGGGAAATTACCATAGCTCCCTTCAAAACTACCTAGTTCTGGTACTGGCTCTTGAGTTTATAACAAAGTCATTCATGGTCAGATGCTTGTCAAAATGGACATCCATCAAAAGGTGATTTTTCTATTGTTGGCTCAGTGATTATGAAAAGCTAACAGAATCAGTCATTCAAATGGGATAAAAGGAGCCCTTTGTTGGATTGTTTTTACATAAACTTCATACCTCTTCCATCTCAGCTTCAGTGACCTATTTTCTTAAATTATTGCTGCCTCTAATTTCTTGGTAATAATGCCATTATCACTTCCAGAAATGAATTCTTCATATTTGCATCAGATTTAATATTTATGAATGTACATAATGGGCACTTAGATTTCATTATGAATATTAGAAAATATTAGCAATGAACACTGACCTCACTTATTTGGTAAATTTATGGCACTTGATAATATGAATAGGTTGAAATAGATAAACCTACCACAAATAATATATATTACTATAATAAATATGAAAAGGCATTCCATATGGCAATGTGATTAACTTGGTTGTTAGTTTTATAAAGCGATATGATGCTTAAAGTCATGTATTTTAAAATGATTGTTTCATCTCTCGTGTCTCTACTCTTCTCTGGAAAAGGAGAGAAAAAGCAAATGAGATGTGCTGGCATAGGAAAGCATCATAGACGCCATTCTCAGTATCTTTTCCTTTAAGAACTTTTTCAGTGCCAAGGTGCATATTACTTTCATGGGCCCAAGGCTCTTTTACCTTTATAAATCCATTTCTTCATAAAAATGTGTGGGTTATATTTTATAACTGATTTGGTATAAAACTAATATAATTCAGGCTGTATTATGTTATTTTTCCTGATGTTTAAAAAAATCTTAAAATTTCTTTCTGGGGCTCTAAGTGTATGTATTGTGGCCTTTGTTATGGTTCCTACAGTACCACATATATAAGTCAGCCTTGTTATATAATCATATTATGATCACCCTTTAGCTAATTTGTCCTTTCTAAGGTTTTTAAGGTCATTTGAGGCATAAGGTAAGGAGCTGATTGATTCATTATCCTGAATTTCATATTTTAAAATAAATCACTTTGGTTTATAAGAATGTTTATGTCTAGGTATATTCTATAAGTTTATACTAGTTGATTTTTAATAAATTGAATCATTCATTTTCAGTAACTTGTGTTGTTACCACAAAAGAATTGACCATTTCATATAAATTTCCAATTCAAGTAATAACTCCCATTTAAGCTGTGAGAATCTTTGACTCTTACTTTCTCACCACTGCCCTCCCAACTTTACATAGCCCTTGTCTTTGACCTTGCATTCTGATACACTTATGTTCATCAGAAGTACTAAAAGTTGGGGAAATCTTTTTATAATGGATGTAATTATCCCTAATTGATCTGAGATTTCTCTTCAAGTATTAAAATGTCTCTTTTTGCTTAAAGCAAAGAATATAAGAAAACTATTATTAATAGAAAATATATTTCCTTAGATGCAGATGGTAATCTACATTATTTAAGAGACCAATTAAACTCTAAATACTAGTTCCTGAGGATAGTGCATTCTCTTCCTGATAGCTAAAACTATCCTGGGGTAGATGTTTGATCAGTGTTAAGGATACTTCTTAGGGTTTCTGCATCCCATGTTGGAGTGTCTGAGTTCAAGTTCTAGCTCTGCTCCCAATTCTAATTTCCTGCTAATGTGCACCATTGGTGACAGCAAGTGATGGCTTAATTGGTTTCCCACCACTCATATGGGAGTCCAAGATTGAGTTGGAAACTCCTGCTTAGCCCTAGCTCAGCCCTGGCTCTTGCAAGCATTTAGGTAGTGAACCAGAGGATGAGACCACTGGTTGCCTATCTGTCTCACTCTGTCTCAAAAATTAATTAACTACAATAATTTTAAGAATAAACTATAGGAGCTAGTATTGTGGTATAACATGTTAAGCCACCTCCTGTAATGACAGCATCCCGTATAGGCACCAGTTCATATCCTGGCTGCTTCATTTCTGATCCAGGTCCCTGCTAATGCACCTAGGAAAGCAATGAAAGATGGCCCAAGTCTTTGGGTCCCTGTACCCACATGAGAGACCCGCATGAAGCTCTTGGCCCAGCCTTGGCTATTGCAGCCACTTTGGAAGTGAACCAGTAGAGGGAACAAGATTTCTCTCTCTCTCTAATTGTGCCTTGTAAATAAGTAAAAAATAATGTTTTAAAACAAACTATGCTTCTATGATATCAGGATACTAAAGATTGGCTCAATACTATATAGAAAAGTGTAGAAGAGCTGATGTTTTGGAGGTATTTTAAGCAATATATCTTGTTTCTTGTTAAGATTATCCAAACCAGCACAAATAAGTTACTAAGTTGTGTTTTATTTTTATTTATTATTTTTTATTTTGCAGTTTCTCTAGACTGTCTTAGGGCTTTGGGATATTTATATAGATGCATTTTTACAATAAAGGAGAAAAGTGTTATAGCTAGTGCCCTCATTAATTTATAGCCTTATTTTATGGACCACACATGTCCTAAGGACTCCTTCCTGATAACTGCTCTTCTGGCAACTGTATCACAAAAGAGTATAAGGTGTTGGTGCAGGACCACAAAATCATGTGTGGTTCCAGAAGCAATAATGTACACCTCAAGGAAGACAATCCAAGTAGAAGCTGAACCCCAATAATCTATGGCATGTGAACTAGTCAGAATAGCTGTGTTAGAGGAGCCATGTTTTTCTGTAAAATTAAAGACTTCCAGTAAATTTGATGCTTGTTGTACTTAAAACTCATACAGCCATTGCAGATTCAAGCAACTTTTTCTGTCAGTCACAGGAAAAGTGATAAGCATCAAAGAGAATAACATGAAAACAAGTATTTCCTTTGGCCTTTCTAAGAAATTCCTGGTTCTTTTATGCCTAGTTTTTGCACAGAATACACGTTCTTTTTTTTTTTATTTAATGAATGTGTTTTTACGTAGATACAACTTTAGGAATACAATGGTTCTTTCCCCTATACCCCCCACTCTGCTTCCTTCCCACCTCCCATTCCCTCTCCCATATCCTTCTTCATTATGGATCATTTTTAGTATGACTTTATATATAGAGGACCATCTTTATGCTAATCATAGATTTCAACAATTTGCCCCCATGCCCACATACAACATATAGAGTACAGTTTGGGGGGAGAATTTGCAGTCAATTCTCATATTGCAATTCAATAGGGATAGAAGTCCTACCTGGGGAGCAAGTACACAGTGACTACTGTTGTTCCTTTAACAACTAATACTCTTCTTTTATGATGTCAGTGCTAATCCAAGGCTCTTGTCGTGGGCTGCCAGGGCTATGGAGGCCTTTGGTGACCATAGACTGTCGTTATTTGGACACAGCCATAAGCAAAGAGGATGTTCTCCTCTCCCTTCAGAGAAGAGTGTCTCCTTCTTTGATGACCCTTCCTTTCCTCTGAGGTCTCCCAGAGATCCTCCATCAGAATACACTTTCTATGAACTTTTTGAAGGCCCCTCATTTGCATGGAATTTTTTGCCACCAAAATAAACTGGATTTAATTCCATTTTCCACAAATTTTTAAAAGTATTCTGCTATGTTTTAACTTAATTGCAACAGTTAATCTTAGAAATAAGTATTTTGATAGAGTCAGAGAAAAAAACCTGATATATGTGGAGTTAGCTAATATTGAATGAATGGAATTTATTTCATATTTTGAATTACTTATAATTATCTATCTACTAGTGTATTTTTCTGGAATGTCAGGGGCCAATTTTTTTTCCAAAAATCAATACCAGTACTCACCACAAAACTTCATATATCTAAGACCCCAAACACTATGTAATTAGTATAGTCTTATCCCCAACAGACACATAAATATTTACATATACAATAATATGCTTTTAATGATAGCAGCTGAGTCACATTAATGGATAAAAAAAAAATGGTTCTTTTGCTTGAATCCCTGCCCCTGAGCTGTAGATTTTGGATCAGAGAGTTCCAGGCTACTGGCTTTGACCTAGTCCAGCCCCAGCTATCGCAGATATTTGAGCAATCTGGGGAATGAATCAATGAATGGAATGTTTCTCCATCTCCCTCCCTCCCTCCCTCTCTCCCTTCTTCCCTCTCTCTCTCTCTCTCTCTCATTCTGCCTCCATCTGTTTTTGCTTTCCAAATAAAAATAAATAAAGCTCTATTTCTAATATGTATGGTTGCATTATTATTAAAATTAAGTTTACTTACCCAGAGGCTTCACTACAGATGAACAATTTTGAATAACATGTTACTGTTGGATCACACATCATGTCATTCTAAATAAGACTTAGATACATAACATTTTCCAACACCTATCCAAAGAGTGTCCGTCCTGGCAAATAATCATAAGAGAGGCCTGATTGAGGAGTTTCTTTTCTTTTTTTTTTTTTTTTCTAGTTCAATTCATCTGAACCCATGACAGGTTTGAACTCTGACCTCAGAAAGGGAAGCTTCAGGCATGTTAACAGAATAGAATTGCTAAATCCCATCTGTCTGATCTTATTAGGATACTGTCAAATGAGGGTTCTGACCTTCTATAATTATTGACACCTATTTAATTTATCTTTTCATCCATAGCCAAGCCTAGTTCAGCTGCTGTGGCACATGTAAATACATCACTGTTGCCAGCACAGGCTGATTGGCATTCATGCTTGAGTGTCTTTTTTATTTTCTCCTTGGCTGCTGGGAGTAGCCTGAGCAGCACAGAAACTAAAGAGCTTCATCTATTAGGCATGACAGATTTGTATTCAGCGGTAAACGCCTGACCTTGCTCAACTCTCTCATCCATTCCCATCATCCTCTTGCCAGATGAGAGTCAGCTTTGCTCCTGCTTCCTGGCTGTTTCCTTGGCAACAATAACTGAGTCGGTCTGAGAGAATAAGGAATAGAAGAATACCTTTGCTGTGGGATTAAGGTGCTAAAAACAAAGTCATCATCTACAGAATTACAAACAAAGAATGCTTAAAATTAGAATTTTAAAACAATACCACCTGTGACATCATTATTTCCTTATTAACCCAGTTAAAATTGATGTAATATTTACCTATGTTTTTCCAAGATATTTTAACTTGAAACCATAGAATTTAAACTCTTAGCATCCATGTTAGTTATATGATGAAAACAAATTAATGTTGTAATAAAACTTGGAATGCTTCAGACATTGAATGAGTGAAGATATGCACAATATCTCAACTGGGAGGAAGAACTTTGTAATCCATCACTATTTTTCTCCTTTCTCTTCTAAAAGTAATACACCTTTTTAAAGCATTAGACTTAAAAGATTACAATTCTAGAAGTTCCATTTTCCTTTTGGATTTTGTCACATTTAACCCCCATTCTTATTATCTGAAAGAATCATCAGCATTCTTTGTGTTATTTTTTGACAACACATCCACAAGGTTGTCAAAAGTCTCATCATCCCTGTGGAATTCTTATATTTGCAGTAAAATTCATAACATCAACTGGAAACTAAATCATAAATTGTTTAGTGAAATTTTAATGGAATTTTATAAAACCATTTCAGCTGACTATATCATAGTAAGAATGCAAGCAGAAACAAAGTCTAGTATACAGAGTTCTATCAGAGATCATAGGATATTTAAATAAAATGTTTTCTACTCTGAACCTCTCCAATGAATCCTTCATTATTTATTAGCTTTGCCTTGGGCTCAGAAATAACTTAAATGTTTTCTAAGTATCTATTCTTCTATTATTCTAATCATATTTTCTAATTTTACTGTTTACTGAGGTGACTTAAAATTGGATACACCCAACTTTACCTATTAAATAATAGAGGATATTAATAGCATAATAACATTAACTCAGATAACCACCTAATCCAGAAGTCTATGCAAAATGAAAGATTAGCATCATTTTTTTAAACTTTTATCTAATGAATATAAATTTCCAAAGTACAGCTTATGGATTACAATGGTTTTTTCCCCCAATAACTTCCCTCCCATCCACAACCCTCCCCTCTCCCACTCCTTCTCCCCTTCCATTCACATCAAGATTCATTTTCGATTATCTTTATATACAGAAGATCAAATTAGCATATATTAAGTAAAGCTTTCAACAGTTTGCACGCACACAGAAACACAAAGTATAAAATACTGTTTGAGTACTAGTTATAGCATTAAATCACAATGTACAGCACATTAAGGACAGAGATCCTACATGAGGAATAAGTGCACAGTGACTCCTGTTGTTGACTTAACAATTTGACACTCTTGTTTATGGCATCAGTAATCACCCTAGGCTCTTGTCATGAGTTGCCAAGGCTATGGAGGCCTTTTGAATTTGCCGACTCTGATCATATTTAGACAAGGTCATAGTCAAAGTGGAAGTTCTCTCCTCCCTTCAGAGAAAGGTACCTCCTTCTTTGATGATCTGTTCTTTCCACTGGGATCTCACTCGCGAGATCTTTCATTTAGGTTTTGGTTTTTTTTTTTTTTTTTTTTTTTTTTTTTTGCCACAGTGTCTTGGCTTTCCATGCCTGAAATACTCTCATGGGCTTTTCAGCTGGATCTGAATGCATCATTTATGTTATGATTATATGTTGCTATTACCACAGATTAAGAGTTTATGAACATCTATTATAAGAATTATAGCTGCAGTTGGTGATAGAATTTAACAAAGCCTATTTATGTGTTTTCCAATTAAATTATCAGGCACTTCTCTTCATGTTCAATGGCTCTTACTAGAATGGATATACATTTATTGTCTTTTTATAGAGGTTAAATATAAATTTATTTTAGTTGTCATGGCAGGTATTCATTTCAGGAGATCTGTTTAGCCACAAAATAAAGTCTGAAGCAGATAAGCACCCATTGGTACCATGAAGAAAGGTAGAGTAGACCACTGACTGATCTTCAACAAGACATGCAATTGGATGTTCTGTGCAAAGGACATCCTCTGTCTGTCACAGAGAAATCAACTATCTTTGCTGATAGTTGATTGACAGGGCAAATCTTTCAGATCACTTTTCTGTTGTTCTTAGGAAATAATGCACAGCTATATTACTTTCCAATTGTTTCTGTAATGTGTCACCACAGATTTAGTGTCTTAAACCAACACAGAATTATCTTAAACATTGGAGAAGATAAAGGCAGTTAATTGGGCTAAGTCAGAGTATCAATCATATTTTTGGTTCCTGGTCCCTGACTCACATGAATCCAGACTCCTGCTGCTCCTATTGACTCTGAGTCTCCTGCTCACTCTCAGGAGATACAGTGATTGCATTGAGCTCACTTGCATAATCCAAGATAATATCATCTCAGATTCCTTAACATACTTGTAACATGGAGATTAATGTATTTTAAACTTGGGGGTTTTAGCATATGTTTGACAGGGTGGAAACATTACTCATCTAACCACATAAACAAATTCTAAGTCTTCCAAAATGCATTCAGAGTGACAACTCAATAAATGTCTTTCAAATAAATAGATGAGAATGAATACACAGAAATGTATGAGAAAGAATATTACAAAAGTGCTCAGGAGCTTGTGAGAATGAACACAAGCAGCGTAACTTTCAGTAAGTCAGTACAGAATAGCCTGACAATTGCATGGTGACATCTGCAGTTGAGTGGAATAGAGCCTGGAACACAATTTCCTTTTGCAGTTGATTAGGTAGTGGCATTGGCATCTTGTTTTTGATTGTTTGCATGGTAAACAAGTAATTTCTAAGTAGGAAAAATTTTATAAAGCATATAAAGTATGGTAGCTGAAGAGATCACAAGAAATATAATTAAGGTGTTGTGCTTTATATTAAACTTTACATCCTTGTGGTGAATTCTCAATCTTTATTATTCTATTAGCTATGAATAAGGAGAGAGGAGGGCAGGATAGGAGGAAAGGAAGTATTATGCGGAGTCCAAGCTTTATTTAAAAATCAGCTTCCAGTTCATGATATGATAATGATATTATGCTTATCTATGATAACATTATCATAATTATTCTAAAAATATCATAACTAGAATGAAGTAAAATATTAATATTTAGATTGGTACATTTTATATAAATGTATTTTGGAAAGGTTTACAAAGCTACATAATGTAGTTGGAAACACATAGGAGGAGGAGAAAAGAGAAGGGGGGGAAGGATGAAAAAAATGAAGCAGAAAGTAAAGGTGACTTTAATGGTGTTTGTAGATAAGCCTTGAGGGTGTGGCACTGACAAGATTCAAGGAACAAAAACTTTCTTTGCCAAAACCAAAGTGTTCTATTGATGTCCCCATGTACTAATAAATTATTAATAGATTTAATTTTATATCCAAGCAGTTGAGAAGGTTTTGTAAGCAGGCTTTGGTTAAAATTTATATCTCTTCTGTTTTCAGTTTTCTCATCTTGAATGCATTCAAAGGTGTAAACTGAGTTTTTTTTTTTAACACTCATTTTTGTATTTCTTTATTTATTTGAAAGGCAGAGCAACAGTGGTGAGGGCAGAGAGAGGAGAGGGAGGGGGGAAGTAGTAATAGAGACAAACATGCACACAAAAATGAATCATCCATCTTATGGTTCATTCACCAAATATTCTCAACAGCCAAGTTAGTCTCCCATAAGGGAGGCAGGAGTCAAGGACAGGGGCCATCATCTACTGCCATCTTCTACTGCCTTCACAGGTGCGTTAGCAGGAAGCTGGATCAGAATGAGAATAGATGGGGCTGAAACCAACACTGTAATATGGGATGCTGGCTTTGCCAGTGATAGTTTAACCACTGCCATTCCCACAGTTGTTTTCGACTTATTAAGTGAGCTCTCACTTCTTGTGGCCCCTTATATCTGGTCCATACAAACCCTCATCCTGTTCACACTATACTCTGTTGCTATTCACAAAGCTTGTTGCTACTCATATTAACATATCATAAAGGCATTTATTTAAAAAATGTCTTATTACATGTGAAGCATGATGTCATTTAAAAATGTCAGCTTGCAAGAAACTTAGATTTGATTGAGGGAGGTAGACAAGAATACCAATAAATTTGAGCAACTGGATTAAAGCATTATTCACATTTAAGTTTGATTCATCTTTTAAAGTCCAAAATATATCTGGTCTCTATTATGATGTTCCATTACTGTCATAAAACAATACCAAAGACTGAGTGACTTAAATAGCACGTTGTTATTTTACCATTTGGGGGAATCATACATCCATGACTGATGTCTGGGCAAACTTGGTTGAGGCCTCTCTTCCTATCTTGTAGACAGATGCCATCACACTCCATCTCACATGGACTTTCCTGTGTATAAATGGGAAAAGGTTGAGAAAAACAGAGATCTGTTGTCTTTGTCTCTTCTCATAAGGACACGAGTCCTACTGGATTAGATAGAAATCCACCCTATGCTGTCATTTAATGTGAATTCCCTCCTTCCAAGGAAAACAGTCATATTGGAGTTAAGGCTTCAACATATCACTTTTAGGGGATGCAACTCAGTCTATACCAGATGCCTTCTCAGATTGTATCATTATCTTGTATGGTCTTGGTTCTCTGATTCCCTTCAGAGTTTATTGTCTAAATTCATCAATTAGCAATTTTTTTTGAATTGTTATTTAAGTAT